GTACACTTTAAAACAAGAAAATGGTTTATTGCCTGAAAACACTTTAAAACAAGAAAGTGGTTTATTGTCTGAAGACACTTTAAAACAAGAAAGTGGTTTATTGCCTGAAGACACTTCAAAACAAGAAAGTGGTTTATTGTCTGAAGACACTTTAAAACAAGAAAGTGCCTTATTGTCTGTGGACACTTTAAAACAAGAAAGTGGTTTTTTGACCAATGTCTCTTCAGGTGCCTTAAGTCCAGAAAATTTAGAAGCAAATAAACAAATGATTTTTCCTCTAGTTCAAGTTTACGAAGAAACAGACTCAGATCAAGACAATATTTTCCCTGAACCAAACCATGCCAGAGAGTGCGTGAGAAAGTCTTATTTTATTGATTCGGACATAGACAGTGATGACTGTTTTGGGGAGAATCAGCTACAACACATTGACTTCATGATGAACAGCTCTAACCCAGAAACATTCAATACTGGTCTAAGTACTATCTATGATAGACATGCTGACCAATGCTCAGATTTAGGTCGAGAAAATCCAGTTGTATCACATGCTTGCCTTAATAATAAGTTACTACCAGTGACTGTATGTAAACAGGAACAGGCAAGTGGTGAATTAACCTCTGTCACTGAGCAGATACAGGCAGTTAGTGAACCTATAGCTGCCACTAAAGATATACAGGCAGTTAGTGAGCCTATAACTGATGATGTACAGGCAGTTAGTGAACCAATAGCTGCCATTGATGATATTATACAGGTAGTTAATGAACCTATAACAGCCACTGATGATATACAGGCAGTTAGTGAATCTATCAGTGATGATTTACAGGCAGTTAGTGAACCTATCACTGAGGATATACAGGCAGTTAGTGAACCTATCACTGATGATATACAGGCAGTTAGTGAACCTATCACTGATGATATACAGGCAGTTAGTGAACCAATCAGTGAGGATATACAGGCAGTTAGTGAACCTATCAATGATGATATACAGGCAGTTAGTGAACCTATCACTGAAGATATACAGGCAGTTAGTGAACCTATCACTGATAATATACAGGCAGTAAGAGAACCTATCACTGATGATATACAGGCTGTTAGTGAACCTATCAGTGAGGATATACAGGAAGTTAGTGAACCTATCACTGAAGATATACAGGCAGTTAGTGAACCTATCACTGATAATATACAGGCAGTAAGTGAACCAATCACTGATGATATACAGGCAGTTGGTGAACCTATCACTGATGATATACAGGCAGCTAGTGAACCTATCACTGATGATATACAGGTTGTTAGTGAATCTATCACTGAGGATATACAGGCTGTTTGTGAATCTATCACTGATGATATACAGGTAGCCAGTGAACCTATCACTGATGATATACACGCAGTTAGTGAACCTATCACTGAGGATATACAGGCAGTTAGTGAACCTATCACTGATGATATACAGGCAGTTAGTGAACCTATCACTGAAGATATACAGGCAGTTAGTGAACCTATCACTGATAATATACAGGCAGTAAGAGAACCTATCACTGATGATATACAGGCTGTTAGTGAACCTATCAGTGAGGATATACAGGAAGTTAGTGAGCCTATCACTGATGATATACAGGCAGTTAGTAAACCTATCACTAATGATATAGTGGCAGTTAGTGAACCTATCACTGATGGTATACAGGTTGTTAGTGAATCTATCACTGAGGATATACAGGCTGTTTGTGAATCTATCACTGATGATATACAGGTAGCCAGTGAACCTATCACTGATGATATACACGCAGTTAGTGAACCTATCACTGAGGATATACAGGCAGTTAGTGAACCTATCACTGATGATATACAGGCAGTTAGTGAACCTATCACTGAAGATATACAGGCAGTTAGTGAACCTATCACTGATAATATACAGGCAGTAAGAGAACCTATCACTGATGATATACAGGCTGTTAGTGAACCTATCAGTGAGGATATACAGGAAGTTAGTGAGCCTATCACTGATGATATACAGGCAGTTATTGAATCTATCACTGATGATATACTGGCAGTTAGTGAGCCTATCGCTGCCACTGAGGATATACAGGCAGTTAGTGAACCTATCACTGAGGATATACAGACTATTGGTGAACCTTTCACTAATTATATACAGGCAGTTATTGAATCTATCACTGAGGATATACAGGCAGTTAGTGAGCCTATCGCTGCCACTGAGGATATACATGCAGTTAGTGAACCTATCGCTGCCACTGAGGATATACAGACCCATCTTGGACTTGTTTCAATGAATGAGCAGATACTGACAACGAATGAACCCATATCTGCCACTATGCTAAAGTCTGTAGCTATAAAACTAGTCTACGCTGAGGACTCTGATGAAGAGCCAGCATCACCCAGTACTAAACTTCCCCATCCTTCACCCACCAAGTTGTACTTCGTCCCTTCAGACATCGACTCAGACGACTGTCCTGATCAGGAAGAAACTTTCATCAACGTCCATCTTGGCCGGCCAGCTATGTCACGTGATCACTTGAAACTGACAGAAATATCCCAGCTTCAACGGTCAGCGTTAGAAGATTGTAACAATAAAGTAGAAGATAGTGTAGGCCCAGTTGAGTCTATATGTGAATTTGAAATGAAAAAGAAGGTAAGTTTAAGTGAAGAACAGCTGCAACATAGTATTGATTGCTTAGCATTGAACGAAAAATCTTGCACAGACCAGTTAGTTAAGAAAAACGGATTCCTGAATTACAGCTATATGTTTGAAGGTGTCGTTACAATATCTCAATCATCTGAGCAAGTTGAACCAGAAAGTAAAGATGACCAAATTCCACCAAAATGTAAAGATGGCCAAAGTTCATTACAAAGTAAAGATGACAAAATTCCATCAAAAAGTAAAGATGAACAAATTCCATCAGAAATTAAAAATGATTACGTTCCATCAGAAAGTAAAGATGATCCAATTTCTCCAGAAAGTAAAGATGACCAAATTTCTCCAGAAAGTAAAGATGACCCGATTTCTCCAGAAAGTAAAGATGACCCAATTTCTCCAGAAAGTAAAGATGACCCAATTTCTCCAGAAAGTAAAGATGACACAATTTCTCCAGACAGTAAAGATGACCCAATTTCTCCAGAAAGTAAAGATGACCCAATTTCTCCAGAAAGTAAAGATGACCCAATTTCTCCAGAAAGTAAAGATGACCCAATTTCTCCAGAAAGTAAAGATGACTCAATTTCTTCAGAAATTAAAGATAACCGAGTTTCACCAGAAAGTAATGATGGCCAAATCCCACCAGAATTAATTAACACTGGCCAAATTCCTTCAGAAAATAAAGATTACCAAGCTGAACCAGAAACAAAAGATAGTACACGTGAACTAAATAGTAAAGATTCAATGGAAATTCCTCGAGTAACATTAAATTTAACAAAACCACACAACCACTCCGATAACTCTGATCTTTGTCAAAAAAGTTTTCCTGCTTTGCCCAATGAGTCGGAGCATTCTCAGCCTACCCCTCTCTACAGAGAAGAGTCGGATGACGAGGTTTGTGCTGTAGAGGCTAACGATGATCAAGCTGGAGGTCTTGTCCTGAAACGGCCGTACTTTGTGACATCTGATGTAGATTCTGATGAAGACATTTGTTTTGTAGAAGTTTCAAATCAGCCCCATCAAGTGAAACTTTTACAACCTGATGGCATTGGTGGACTACAGGAGAGTTGTAGACAAAACCTTGGTGTACAAGAGGGTATTTGTACACTAAGTTTTGATGAGGTTAGTTGTGTACAAAAAGTTAATGCACCGGAGGACATTTGTATACAAAGCTTAGCTGCACAAGGGGACAGTTGTGTGCTAAACGTAGATAAACTAGGCGACAGCTTTGTACAAAACTTTGATGTACTTAGGGACAATGATATACAAAACGTTGATGTACTGACGGATGGCTTTGTACAAAACGATGGTGTACTAAGGGACAGTGATGTACAAAACGATGGTGTACTAAGGGACAATGATGTACAAAACGATGGTACACTTGAGGACAGTTGTACAAAAAGCTTTGATACCCTTGAGCACAGCTTTGTAAAAAGTGATAACTCTAACGTTCTAGACAAAGAGCTCACACGTTGTTCTAACACGACTTTAAGAATATGTAACAGAACACATGCCAAATCACAGTTCAAAGTTCCGAACGAAGAACTATCTCCAGCTTTTGACTTGAAATCTAGTAAAATTTCAGCAATATGCAGCGAAGAAAACTCTCTACAGTTTGACGGCCAAAATGTAAATCAAAATGAGACAGAAACAGTGAGCAAAACTGCGGATGTTGAGGAGATGATCACATCAGAAAAATGTAAGATTCCAGATACTTCGACTGCTTCAGGAGCTTCAAGTCATCCGACCGTATCATCGGTTACTGTAAGCCCTGAAATAGTTCCAGAAGCTTCTCAGGCAACCTCAAGCAATCTGCCTTTCCCATCGGTTACTGTAAGCCTTGGAAGAGTTCAAGTAGCTGATCCAAAATCCTCCATACGTCGAGAAACTGTTACAGTCGTTTACAAATATGATTCAGATGAAGATACGGCAGATCCACATAACCATTCAACAAACACGCAAATTGTATTCAATAAAACTCTGTTTGTTGATTCAGATTTAGACAGTGACGAAGACGTCGCTTTGAATATCTCGAATTGTATCCCTAACAGCGGTTTTTCCATAACAGAGTCAAAAGAAGATATACAAGAGAATCTTGAGAACAAAGTAGATACTAAATCTGCAAGTAATGATGAGGATGGAGCTTTGAGAGCTTATCGTGGGCATGTTTTGCCTGGATTAACCAAAAGCTGTTGTTTGAATGAAAGGTTGCATTGGAAAGATGCATCTCCAGCTCCTTCTGCTGTAGGATTAAATCGGAGGATATCGCCTAGATATAGATCTAGAGGTCGTGGTTACGCTAGAAGGAACACTATTGAAACGTCTGATAATGCTGCTGCTGGCTTGACAATCACACTAAGTATGCATTCACGCGAAAATGTACTTCCAGAAATACCATCAACACAAGATCCACACAAAAATATAGTACCGGGTAAAATGAGCTTTTCTAGTGAAGAAATTAGCAATGACGGTACAGAAAGCTGCGAGTCTTCTGAACAATTTCAGGACGCAATGTCATCTTTGCCGGCTGAACTGAGTGCGTCACCTGACCCGGAAGTTGTAAAGGTCAAAACGCCAAGTAGCCTAGTAGTAGTGAGCGAAACTCACCAAGAATCGACTACGGTGAACATTTGTTTTCATTGTCGTAAAGTCTCGTCAACAATCGTTCTCTGTCAAACGTGTTTTGCTTTCAAATACTGCAGTGAAGCGTGTCGAGAGGCGGGGCTCAGCTCACACCTTCAGCAGTGTGGTGAGTATTTGGTGCAGGCTTTCATATTTGAATCCTACACTTTTTGCAAATAAGTGATTGTGTACATTTATTTGAAAAAGTGAATGATTGTGTACACATGGGATGGCGTGGTCATGCAGTAGAGAGCTAGACTACTAACCCTAGAGTCTCGAGTTTGAATCCGGGTTCAAATCAGTGGAACGTCCCTGAGTCCACCCAGCACTGATGGGTACCTAACTTACATTTGGGAAACAAAGGCGGCGGGGCATATTACTGACCACACTATCTCTTCATATTCCGAGGTCTATGAATCAGATGAACTCTACTTTACTGCCCCATGTGCCTTGGGCACGAACGGGATTAAGAAGAAGAGATTGTGTACATGTGTACATGGTTTAAATTTATACTAGATTAACTTTTAGCATTGTTTACAAGTTCAGCTGTATTCTAAATTGTTTCCCTTCATGCATTTAGTAAAGTAGTAATGCTAGTTTAATTCAACATATTTTGCTGATAACGATTCAATATTTGGTTATGTCCCCTGTCTACAAAATCTAAATGATCAGACTAGAACATTTCCACTTTCTCTTCTACTCCGTGGTATTAAATATCGCAGCTCTACTACTAAAATCCTTATTAGAAATGGGATAAAATTGGTAAAAAGTAGGGGGTAAAGCTCATGGTTACTAAACCGAAAAGTCTTGAGTTCGAACCCTCGGGCAGGTGAGGCTCGTTAGCTGGGGGACAGCCACTCTTCTAGGAGAGACAACTCCAACATTAAGAACGGAGAAGAAGAAGGTAAAAAGTAAATTTCGTAATGTAGTAAAAAAGGCCTAGCTAAGATATTTTTAAAATAAGTTTCCGCGTCATCTAAAAACACACCGATTGTTGTTTTTTTTTCCTGATTTTCCAGAGGCCATTATTTTCCTGTTTTCCAGAGAGGTTACAGAAATTTAATTACCTCAAGTCAGAATGGGTTCCCCGACAAGCTGGCATATTTTCCAACAACTTGAAGTGTCTGTTTAGCAAAATACCACACCAAAATAAATGTAAGTTGATACGCATTCGATCTTCACTTATTTCATTTTTAATTTTTTAAAAGAAAAACAACGTGATAACTCTTTAAATGCATTGTTAGTTATTAAAATTAAAAAAAAAACGACTTAAAAACTGTAAGGGTTTGGGTAAAGCCGGTATCAGAGAGGAGTTAACAATGGTTTAGGCCTATTCGTGTAAGTAAATCTTACACAACAAGTACAGAGGCGTAGCGGGGGGGGGGGGGGGGGGAAGTACATATGTCCCCCGACGCCGACCTTAGGGGGCGCCAAAATGGGTACGAAAAACAAATTATAGTTTGACGGGGGGTGCAAATCGAAAGTTTGGGGGGGGGGGGGTGTAAATCGAAAGTTTGCTCCCGAGGGGGCGCCAAATTGAAAGTTTGTCCCCGGGCGCCAGGAAGGGTCGCTACGCCTCTGAACAAGTATCACTAGTGGGTACAGGGCCCGGTTTCTAACAGGCGCCATTTACATAGTCTAGCATGTTTTCACATATTTATAGATTACATATGGATAATTTTAAGAACTCTACGTTTAATAAATAAATCACTAATAACATAAATTAAATTTTAGAAAATATAATATTTTAAATATTTTTTTACAGAATACGCATTAAATACGTGTTCATTAATTTGTATTGAAGAACTGTTTATTTAAAAAAGTCTCTACTTTAAAATATTTAACATCCCTGTTGAAAACTATAATCAAATTCTAATTCTTGAGGTGTTTCGTTTATCCATGGCACATCCATAGTAATGTCAGAATAATAAAACTATATTGTAATATTTTTTAAAACTTTGTTTTTTTTTTAATTATATTTAGCCTATTCTTCCCTGCTCATTTACAATTAATACGCTTATTATTCCCACAATATTTTCAAACAATGCTTCGAAATGTATGCTATTTCTACCTTTTAACTTTCACTGTTTCTACAATATTTAAAATTATTTACAATTCTAACAATGTTTACTATTCTAAAATTGTTTTGAACATAAACTGTTACATTTTCTTTCCTGTTAAAAATCGTTCCCTCAATTACTTAAACTATCCACTATTCCCACAATGTTTTAGACTGTCTACTATTCCCCCGATTTTTTAAACTCTTTACTGTTCTCACAATATTTTAAGCTCTCTTCTATTCCCACAATGTTTTTAAACTATCCAATGTTTTAAAATGTCTACTATTCACACGATGTTTTAAACACACTATTCCCACAATGCTTTAAACTATCCACTATTCCCACAATTTGTTAAACTGTCCACTATTCCCACAATGTTTTAAACTGTCTACTATTCCCTTACCTAGCCTCACGACAAAAGGCAGTAGACATTTTGTCTGAAATCTCAGAGATGAATTTCAACCCAAACTTTTTCATTTTAAAACTAAAGGTGAGGACAGCACAACTTAGAAAAAAAATTAGACTTATTTTCTAAAAACTTGAAGCGTGTTTGTTGGGTGAAGGCGTAGTCGGGTGTGTGATAGTCTTCAATGTTGATGTTTTAATTTGCCACATTTCAATATCTGATGTTTTTTGTGTTTACCTGATGTTTTTTGTTTTGTTTCACTCATCCTCTCCACCAATAAATTTTCTACCCGCTTTGATCATCCTTAATTAATGAATTTATCCCGTGAAATAATAGAAGATACGTAATAAAACGTATCGATTGATTTTATTACGTTTTATCAAGTTTTCACTAAAACCGAATACGAATTACAAAATGTCTAATCTAGTTTGTTATATAATTCTTTTTGATAGTACCGGTATCTTTCGTTGGTGATTTAAAAAAAAAAAAACTTTTTACAACACTTGTTAATATCTGTTTCACTTTCAGGATCTCAAAGGAGAGGAAGAATCTTTCTACCTACCCAGAGGTCGTATGAGAAACTATAGAGTTAGTAGCAGGGGAGATCCTATGAACATGAGCTTGTTAGTTCAGCCTGAAAACTTTGTGGTCATCCCACGGCCATCTTGGTTCGTGGCCGAAAATGGTGACCGGTACATTGTGACGTCATTTACGGACAGTGTTGCGTTTGGATTTGCAGATGCTGTGGTGGATACTTTCTTTGGATAACGTGGGGATGTGTAGTGACCACTGGCATAATGGGTTGAAACATGATGTGGTGGATACTTTCTTTGGATAACAGTGGTGATGTGTATAGTGACCACTGGCGTAATTGGTTGAAAGATGGTGTGGCATTTAGTAGCTTTATGATTTTTTTATGAGGTGTTGGGAATTGATAGAACGTCTTGTGATTAATTGGAAATGGTTGTGATTTGAGAGAACTATTTGTGATTTACTAGAAATTGTGATTTGCTAGAAATTCTTGTGATTTGATAGAATTAGGGATTTTCTAGATTTTTTTTTGTGATTAGATAGAACTAGTTTGGATATATTAGAAATTGTGATTTGATTTGCTTGAAATTGTTGTGATTCTTAAACAATTGTTGTGATTTGATAGAAATTGTGATTTGATAGAAATTGTTGTGAATGATACTTATTGAGATTTGTATGAATTTGTTATTAAAAATAAAGTTAATTGTTTGATCTAATTTCTATTACTTAGAAATTATAGGGAATCGTTAGGGCTTCTAGATGGTTGTGAGAACTAAAATTGGAATTTTAGAATTCTGTTACTAATTTCTAAAGTTAATTGTGCACTGCTAGAAACTGTAGTCACACTGAAAAGAGTTCAAGTAAACATCTGAGCTTTAAACGCACGTCAGGATCTAAAACTACCATTTTTTATACAGTTTGAGACTCGCTATTACGACCTGAGTGCAATACTCTTTTGTTTCACGTGGTTTTCTTTTGCAAGTCGATGCATCGTTAATATATGAGTTGGTACCATGACATAGACATTCCCATCTCGATTCAAAATCTATAAACATACAGTGGCGTAGCGAGGTCGGGTGTCATCCGGTGCGGCACTTAATGGTGTCATCCCCCCCCCTCCCAGAGGCGTAGCGACCCTTCCCGGAAATAAACTTTCAATTTTCGATTTGCACCCCCCCACCCTCAAACTTTCGATTTGCACCTCTTGAAACACTATTTAACACTCGAATTAATCACTTAATTAAGTGGAATTATCATTTTTCTCTATATATTTTGCTATTTTTTGCCTTGGTGTCATCCCCCCTAAGTGGTGTAACCCGGTGCGTTCCGCACCCCCGCCCCCCCCCCCTCGTTATGCCTCTGTAAACATAGATAAACATTTATGTTTATTTTTGTATTGTTAATTGTTATCGTGATTTGGTTTTGTTATCACTACGGCTGAGTGTAACAAATCCTAAGTTTGAAAATTAGTTGTAATCAAATCATTTAAAAATCGACCTGTTGTTAAGATTGATGATTTTTTTTTTACAATTATACCCTGTACGTGTGTTATATTATTCACCAATTATTTATTGATAACATTTAACTGTATTATCCTTTTAAGGATGTGCAATTGTTTAACAGAAAGAGTAGGGTTTAACAACAAGTAAGCCAAAAGTATTTCATATTTTTAATAAGTGCTCTTGATGTTGCTCTTTATTCAGTGTACTGACGGTCTACAAAATTTTGGGCCTCCCTTAAATGACTAACTATATATATATATATATATATATATATATATATATATATATATATATATATATATATATATATATATATATATATATATATATATATATATATATATATATATCACTGTTCTGTTGAACCTTTGGTGCCTTTCCCAGTTCTAGTCCATTGCCTTCACACGGAGTGACGCTTCTTAGTCTAATTAATTAAATATTTTATGTAAAAATGTTTCAGAAAATAATCCACTTAATACTTTCAGTTATGTAAACGAACCACTCCTTCGCAGCTTTTTAAGTACACGTTGAATGGGACCATTTTCTGTGATCTATAAATAAATAAATAAATAAATAAATATATATATATATATATATATATATATATATATATATATATATATATATATATATATATATATATATATATATATATATATATACATATAACGAGCTGCTGGACAGCTTATAACAAATATCGATATTTAATTATATTGGTGCTTAGTCAATTCATATTTGTCAATTTACACTGATTTGTGGATTCCACTCCCCTCCATCCCCCCTCATGAATGTGAAAATTTGTATTTTACCCGCAGCCACATGAAATATGTACACTTTTTATTAAATATATCAAATTGCATTCTAAATATTGTAAATGTATTATCAAACATTTATTAAGATACTTTAAAATAGATAGGCCTACTCTTCGATTAACCAAACCAGTATTCGTTTGATTGATTTAATACTTTCATTTCATCTCAAAATAGAACTTCAAAGTTTTAAAAATCATCGAATATGCTGGTACGGAAAATTGATAAGGCCACGACAATCGTGTTATTTTTGCACAAATTAAGAATGGTTATTTTCTCAGCAGCGTGTTACTTTTTAAAACTTTTTTACCCATTACATTTTATCGCAATGTTTTGTTGATTGTGTTTAATATTTTTTAACATTTTAAAATTTTCTTGTATGCTACAGTAACCGTGGTGCTAGATCCAGACCTGATGTTCACACTAACCCTGGTCATATTCAGAGTTTCTTCCAGGCATCTCTTCGGGGGGGGGGGCGCTTAGCGCCCCCCAAAGAAAGTCTTCCGCCCCCCCCCCCCCCCAAGAGATAGAATTTATATAGTAAACATACTTTTACTAGTGTCCGCCACCCCCCCCCCCCCGAGAGAAAGTATGAAAGAAAAACTGTCCGAAAGTTTCAAGTCGCCCCCCTCCCTCCATTCCCAGGAGAAAAAAGTCTGAAAGAAACGCTTGTATCAGGCCAAACGAGAACGGAGAGTTACTTTGACATCAGACGCCGTGACAGTAGATTCTTTACATATACAAAAATTATATATATATATATATATATATATATAATATTATATATATGTATATATTAGAGATTTAATGTATTATCTCTTTATTATCTCTTTTGAAATACTTTTTTGTTAAATCGAAGGTTAAGGTTTGGTGTGGCTAAATCAAAACGTCAGAATAGCCGATTAATCAGCCAAGAATCAGTTCCCTTTAAGTCGACAGTGTAATACTTTTTGCAGTGTCGTATTGAGTTATTTCCTGCATATAGGACTAGCTTTCAAGGATAAGTGTTGATCTAAGATTATTAACAAGGTAAGGATAGCTGTAATCGTTCGTGTAAAATATAATGTAGATCTATAAGATGAAAAAAAAACAAGTGTTGTAAAAGTAAACGAAGACACTTATTCACTCACATTCTAGTGTTGTAGTGTGTAAACCTACTGTGGCTGCACTAAATCTTTGAGCACAATGCTCGGTGAACTGTTCTCACACTACACAATAATACATAGCCATTCCGTAGGTCTAGGCCTACAATGTTTTGAACATTGGCGTGTGTAGTCAACTCTTAATTTATAAGTTACTGGTTGTAAACTCGGATCGCTTAATAATATAATATTATATGCATTTATCAACGCGAAACCTTTTCCATAATCTATGTGTAGGCCGAACTATTTCGAGAAATGTCCATTTTTTTTTTGGAAGCGGGTTGTAAAAATACGCCTTTTGGTAACACCTGAGTTAAACTATAGATGATACACGTTGGTCTACTACAAGAATACCAACAACCTAACACCCCTCATTTTTGGATGAGTCCGAAAATATATTTATTTCCATCTTATACACGTTAATACAGCGTGTTTCACCCTTACCCAGTCATTGTAGGACTCGAGCGTCCCCCTTTCCACCCTGATTGGATGCTATCCTAACACAGTCCAGACACTGGCCAGTCCACACGTTGATCGTCTAGACTTCGGTGACACGAGTTGCCTGACGTCATGAGCACGGCGTATTTTTATTTTTGGTATCTCAGTGGCCGTTAAAAAACCCACGTGGCTTTTTTTTTGGGTATACAAGTGGCCGTTAAAAAAAACAACACGCGGTGGTTTTTGTTTTTTTTTCCCGCGAAGGTTTGCGAGAAAAACTGCTTGAATCGCTACACACTAGGCAGCACGGGATCATCTACCAGTGTGTATGCCGGACAACTGGGAATCAGCTGAAGTCTAGCAGTGTGCAGAACACATTCTGTTAGGGCGGACAACACGATATCAGTCTATTAGTGTGTACATCACAATTAAAAACTGGACAACACGAAATCTCAGACTGTGTAGACCACAACTATAAAACCGGACAACACAGGATCAGTTGACCGTTGTGCAGAAACCAATTATTGTAGGTCAGGCAATAACTAGAACACCAGCCAAGATGGTCGATCCAGAGAAGCCACGCATCATTAGTTTTCTGGAGGTGGAGAGGTCTAAGGCTCAAAGGAAGTGCATCCTGTGCAAGAAAACAGGTGTGGAGCAGATGGTCATCTGTGACGGGTGCATGACTTTCGGGTGAGTAGTCTCATTTGCTCGGCGGTTATGTTGGGGGGGGGGTAGGGTTGCCAGATACCTTTTTCCGAAATTACTGGACACCTTTCCATCCTTCCCTTCTCATGTATGCCTCAAAGCAGAAGAAGGGGGGGGGGGGTAACAGAGTATTATTCATATACTTGTCCAGTATTTATATTTATTTTATCCTGGACAGTCTGCTCAAATACTGGACTGTCCAGTTCAAAACTGGACACCTGGCAACCCTAGGGGGGTGGGGGAGGTTGGATGAAGATGTTACTGAAAAGTGCCTCGATGTTTGTTGTTAGGCCTATCCAAAAAAGTGGGTAGGCTAGATGTAGATCTAGAATTAATAATTTCATAATAGATCTATATCTAGGAATTTATGTACTGAACTCGGCGGACCAACAAATCTCCGCCTACTCTCTGCTATACCCAGTATTTCTTCCAGACCTTTTTCTCCGGGGGTGGAGGGGGGGGGGGGCACTTGAAATTTTCGGGGGGGGGGGGAGGGCGGACGTGTCAAAAGTATGTTTTCTATATAAATTCCATTTCGTTCGAGGGGGGGGGGGGGCGGGCGGTAGACTTTCTTCGGGGGGGGGGGGGGGGGGCGGTGCCTCCCCGAGGAGATGCCTGGAAGGGATAATATTTCGAGTCGTCCCTTTGAATCCCGGTCAGAACGTCCCCCAGGCCTGGCCTCAACCAACCGGAGGGTCTCTGCTCCCCACTTACCACGCCCCCCCCCCCCCCCCCCAGTGCCGGCGCCATGTTATTTAGCGTAATCTCATTTTATTGAAATTGTTGCTAAGTCCACGAGTCTACTTAGTATTTTACGACATACCCCCCCCCCCCCTTAGAAAATTTAAGTGCTTCCCACCCCACTCCCGGGAGAAAAAAGTCTGGGGAAAAAACACTGAAAAAAAATTCTTGTAGTGTTGGGCTCTCTGCAGCCCTTCCAAGGTGAGTTCCAAAATGAAACTTACACGTTTTAAGTGTGACTGTCTTTAGTTATAATTGTAAAATGTCTATATTATGTGATTATGTAATTATTTTTTTGTTTTTTAAAAATAAAAGGTTATAAAAGTTATAGATTCCTTTATGAGAGGGTGAAAAATATGAAAAGACAATTAATTAGATGTTTAATTTACGACTAAGACTGTATGTCTACTAACATTAAGTATTGCAATCTACATTGACTTCTGATGTATCTGTTTTTCAACTTAATAATGCTAAAAAGAAAACTACCGAACTATTTTGTTTAGAACGTAAGCTCTATATAATTTTTACAATAGCAAATAATAACTTGAAGTTGTATTTATATGTAAGCGGTCAACCTAACCTAAGGTGCAGAAGTTTGAAATGAATGTAAAGTTAAGCAACGAATTATCTCCCATTCAAAAATCCAAATACAAAAATTTTATTCAAGGGATATAACTTCCACAAGAATAGCTAAATTAACCACGTGTAACTAAGACATGCTTTAAAAACACAGTAAAACGCTTTAAATTTCATTACGTAATAGTAATTATACATCTTTTATATTAGCTATGTCGCCTTGTAAAAACAATATATTTTACCTATTGAAAAGTTAACTGTAGGTTTTGTTTGAAAGTCTAAAAACGGTAGCTTTATTATAACATATTTCTATTCAATTATGATGACATACATTTATTTGCCTGTATGATATCGATAGCTTGTGTAAAATTTTGGATCCCCTAAATAAAGGGACGCCTTTTAAAAATTCAAACACGGGTAACTGTATTAGAGGTTGTTAGATTTATTGATTAAATATAAAAAAAATATAATTTGAGAAAAAACATAGTTTACGGTTAGTTATAAATTCCATTCTATTCTATTATATTATATATTCATACCTCAAGAGTGATAGATTCCTAAAAAAAACTAAAGATTTTTCAACTAGAGAACGCCCATCTACTACATTCACAACACATCAAACTTCGATACCTAAACATAACTAGAGTCTAGACCCGATGCTTAAGAACCAGACACCAACTCGCTTAACTTCACCAAGCTCTACAAACGGTACCCCCAATTAACAACGATTTCATTGGACCTACTATACACTTTAACAGTCTATAATTCGATACATTAATACCACAAGAATTAATACTCATGAACTCCAGAAGTACGATACTTCGTCACCTGCATTCTCATTTCTCTATTACCAGATTCCTCTAGAACTTCATCTACAAAACAGCCTAATAAAAATTAAGACACTTTAACACTTCGATACTATATACCTATATCATACCATATCAGTAACAGTCTTCCGCCGTTACTAACAAATCTAAACGATTCATCAAAACTTACCAAACAATTACAATACTTTGAACACCCCGTCATTACAAAACTCTATACACCAGGACAGATTTCTAATTCAAAGTCAGAGAAAACGAGACTTACAAGCCCTATTTAAATTAGAAAAACCGCTTGAAATGTCCGAAATCTAAATTACGAACTTAGTTAATCGTTTTCTACATCAATTATGTGACACCAAATTAAAAAGACAAAGTGACTGGTAAAAAGCGCCCCGACCTTTCCAAATTAGGGATGTGGGGTTGCATTTTCACCACATCGCGAATAAATATAGGCCTATATAGACCTAATTTTGGGATGGGGTGCAAAATTAATAGTTCGTCCAGGGTGCCGAAATAGATCGCTACTCTTTTATAAAAGTTATTAATTATTAGGTACTTTTTGATAATAGCGATTAAACCTTTTGCGCCCCCCTAAGGATGGCGCCCTAGGCGACGGCCTAGTTCGCCTTATAGGTAGCGCCGGCCCTTCCCCCCTAAAATAACGTCTACCACCCCCACCCCGAACAAAATAGAATTTGTATAGAAAATATATAATTTCATTTACATCAGTGTCCGCCCCCTCCCCCCCGGAAATTTTAGTTTGCCCGCGCCCCCACTTAGTGTTTCTTCCAGACCTTTTTCTCCGGAGGGGGCACTTGAAATTATCGGGGGGTGGGGGGGGGGGTTCGGACACTGTTAAAAGTATATACTTTCTATATAAATCCCATTTTGTTCGGGGGGGGGGGCGGTAGACTTTCTTCGGGGTTCCCTGAAGAGATACTTGGAAGAAACTGCTCCCCTTTCCCCGTAGAAAAGTCTGGTAGAAACACTGCTGGGCACAGAAAGGACAAGATGACAATGAGTAAATAATTTGGCGTTTCTGTGTCGGGCTAGAGATGTACATTTTTCTTGACCCTTTCAGCTACTGCTCACAAAAGTGCTTACGTCTGGACCGAGCCGCTCACCTAGAGCAGTGCCAGTTGATCGCCATGAGCAAGTCGCGCTCTTATGATCCAGGTGAGGGATGTCGTCTGGCTGCTATTGTAACATTACCTGGAGCATCAGGTGACGGACACAGGACACCTGCGGGGACAGTGCCAGCTCAGGCAGACGGGTCCCTCCACCGCCAAAATCTGAACAGAAAGAAGAGAAACAAAAACAGACGACGAAAAGGTAAATCTGAAGATACATACAGCCACGAGCTAAAGACAGAGTTTGGGGAACTCGGAAATAAACAGGAAAACACAGAAAAAACAAAGGCAGCCTTAGATACTCCAAGTGACTTTGGCGAAGGATGGTGGAAGACTAAATCAAAGACATCAGGATCAAATCCAAACCAAACCAAGTATTTCAAGGTGCCCGTGAACAAGGATTCATGTCGTTCTGCAGATTTCCCAGAGCCTGATCGACCAGCAACTAATGTTCCAGGTTAGTGTCATGGCAAATTTGAATTGATTTAAATTGAGTACTCTCAAATTTAATGGTGAGCCACTTCATTGTCTATGTAATTAGCTTTGCACATAAAATACATATCATGTTATTAATCAAATAATAAATTACATTTATATCTTTCATCTGTATACTGACTATCTCCAATTTTAAACACTTAACAATAGTAGTACTCCCTAATTTCATACCACATCTATTTTCACAACTATTATATACCACCTTATTTAGCTAGACTGCTAACTCGAAAGTCTTGAGCTCGAATCTGGGTCCAAGTCATTAGACAGTCCATGAGTCCACCCAGCTCTGATGGTTACCTAACTCACTTTAGGGAAAGTAAAGGCGACTGGGCATAGTTCTAACCACGCTATCCCTTTATATACTGAGGTTATAGAAACAGATGAACTCTACTTCACTTGCCCCATAGAACATCAGATTCTGAACCGGAACTTTACTTATACAAACAATACAAGATTAATTTCCATTACAGGAAAGAAAAGTGTGAGACAGCAACGAGCTGAAGAAATAGCCGGCAGCATGCAGGGTATGGAGTTCAAACCTCGACAGTGTAGCTCTTGTGACAAAGTGAGCACTCAGCTGCTCACCTGCTCACGATGCAGCTGTACCTACTACTGCAACAGAGACTGTCAAATCCAAGACTTCCAGAAACACAAGGAATTCTGCAGTAAGATTTTCAATTACTTGTGAATAGCTTTTTATCATGTACTTCAGTACAACATTTTTATTTCCATAGTAATTATTACCTTAAATCCGGTATATTAATTTTTTCTTTTCAATGTAAAGATACATTTTAGGAGCAAAAGTTTAAGAATCCCTATAGTTCTATTTTTTAATATATTTAAAAAAAATGTTTTTACCTAGAAATGAATCTGTTACACCTGAACACTCTCTGAGGCATCCCCCCAGGGTGGGATGAATGAAAAGTAGAAAACGAATTATACAGAATATATATATATATATATATATATATATATATATATATATATATATATATATATATATATGTAACTAGGGGAAGTTACCAGAGACATAACGCAGTACAGCGCTGTCAACTTTGACACGACTGATGCAATAACACAGGTGTTGGCTGATAACGATCAGAAAGCCAAGGCGTAGTATCTTGGGAAGCGATACGATAAGAACGCAATACGGTCTGTCAACTTTGATGTGACAGGATGCAGATGGCTTATTAAATCGGACTGTACGACAGAAGCGGCGTAATTAACATTCTGATGCAACGATTAGAATCGATTACGATTACGATTATGATAGAACCGAATACGATTACGAATACGAAGGGGATATATAGGAAGGCGACGGCTGAGCTCGATATATCTCTCTCTCTCTCTCGATCAGTCAGTCAGTGAGGCAGTATCAAGTTGGTTATTGAACGGGTTAGCCGTATTGTGTTAAGAAGGACGATAGACATGTGCATTCAGTTATGTGAAGACTAGTGAGGACTGTTGGGGGTCAGTTGATTCAGACTATTATTGTGAAGCATTCCTTTTGATTCATTATATTATTGTGAAGCATTTCTTTGATTCATGTAATAAAAGGATCAATAGCGAACCTGCATCTTCGAGTATCTATACTGTGGTCGATGTTGTGTAGAATGAGTGGTTAGACTCGGTAACATTTGGCGTTGTCGAGCAGAACTCGTTAACATTTGGCACTACAGGCAAATAGTCTCGTTACATATATATATATATATATATATACATATATATATATATATATATTTATATATATATATATTTATATATATATATATATATATTTATATATATATATATATATATATATATATATATATATATATATATATATATATATACTTTAAAACAGTTCACCACCCTCCCCTTCACTCTGGAGAAAAAATGGCTAATGGAAACTAAGCACCTGAAAAAGCACGAAAATATTTTTAATCATTTGTCAGACTTTTATGTATCCGTGTATGTTTTAGGGAGAGCCGACATGTTGTGTGATGTATTATTGTATGTTTTTAATTAAAGCCAGCATGTTGTGTGATGTATTATTGTATGTTTTCAGGAAGGGCCGGCAAGTTCTGCGATGCCCACAAGGAGGCTGTGCTATTAATGGAACGATCCTTTGACCAGATTTTGAGCTCATTCGAACAGATGCCAGATGAGTTTGAAAGTGAGTGGAACTTTGTACACTAGTTCTGACATTTTACTTACTTGTAGCATTATGACTCGTCACAGACATACTAAAGGGCACTCCTTTAAATGATTTCACACATTTTTACCACTCCACACTGTATATACAAAAAATTGTTGACTTGTTTTAAGAAATTTAAATTGTATGTTATTAACATTTGTAACCTGTATTTCCCAACCAAACACATACAAATCTAACTACCCCCTCAATGTGCACAGTACTGAGAGTATAATTATCTAAAGGATATTTCTTTATTTAATTTAATCACATTTTCAGGTGACTACAATACATCATCAACTATCCTAATGGTGCAGATCGTTGGTTCGTGTAACCACCCCTTCAGGCATGCTGCAGAAGTCATGGTAAGCCCTGTCATTAGAACGTCCATATTGCATGTTGTTATCATTGTTAAAAATCTCTGGTCTAGTACACATAGACCAGTGTTTGAACCTTTAGTTTAAAATCCTATAAGACATTTAATCAGCCTAAACTAACTAGACATCTGCAGGTAGTTATATAATAGGCCTAATTGTTTAGTTTATTGCAACCAACATGGAATGGACTAGTTCGATGAAGTATTTTTAACTTGAAGCATAATTTGATGTGAATCAGAGTTTGTCCATTGAATCCAAAATCCTAGCTCTTGAGCCTACATTATTAAACTTCCTAGTTCTTCAATCATACCTACAAACATGTTTGTTTATCACATTTTTTTTATCCCCCCTCCCTCCACCTTTACTCTCCATCTTTCTTAGGATGTACACGGCAACACCACCAACGTTTTCTTCTACACACCGACCAACACCTACACCCGCTACATCGGGCTGGGCCCCGAGGGTTTGGTGCTCAACATAGACCTAGAGTTCTGCCTGACCCCCAAGAACTTCATGATACTCTTTGACCCACGCTGGCATTTGTTCCTTGATGGCACAGTTGGCATTCGTATCGATGACATGGAGTCTGTTTTCTTCATACCTACCATCGATTCACTTAGAGAATTTTAGTACCTGAACTTTCTTAAAACAGCCATTCACATTTTAGCATTCTTACTTCGTGGTTAAAGAAGAAGAAATAAATCAGACAAGTAATAATTTTACTTTTTAAACCTTACAGATTACAAAGATTTTAGTAATGGTCCAAATCATTGATTTTATCATGTTTGATTTTTCAAAACAAAAATAAAATTGTGTTGAAAGCATGTGTGTTCAGTTTATAAATAAAAATAAAATGCAATGTCTATAGAGGTTACAACAAAGTAAGGTCATGCACGAGTATGTAATGTATGTAATATTGTTGTATTGATGACAGTGCATGGATGATGGTTTGGCCAAACACAATTCCAGATTAACCTATAAAAAACTATAGCTTACACATTCTCTCTCCCCCCCCCCCCCCGCCCTCCAATGCATTTTATTTAAATTGCTGTGCTAACTTATTGTAATTTTCTTTTTTTTTTTTGAAACCGTAAGGGATTCAGAGTTCTTTTATATTACAACTATAAACACTTTTTTGGCCATGTTTGAAAAAAATCGCAAATATTTGGCACTGACATCTGGACTCGGACACCATATAAAAAATAGTTTTGGGTTTTAGTTTTATTATTATACACAAACCCTGGAGATTGGTCTGACATGTCACTCTACTAGGCCAGGGGTCGGCAACCTGCGGCTCATGAGCTGCATGCGGCTCTTTTGATATCAAGATGGGGCTCTCCAGCTCCTTGAACAAATACTAATGATCTTAATAAAAAAAAATATTTGAAAAAAAAATGCTAGTGGCTCTTTAAAACCAGGGAAATTTTGAAAATTGTAACTTTTGGCTCTTCCGCTTCAAAAGGTTGCCGACCCCTGTACTAGGCTTATGTTAGCGACTGATCAAATCAAACTGGACATTTGGCATCTGGGTAAAAAAATATTGTAAGGTCATGTGGTCATCACTGTAACTTGTAAAGAAATCTCACAACTTAGTTTCTAATTTTTAAAAGGGGCAATAACTATCGTCTTAACTAAGTTATATTATTCTTGTTACAGCCCTTTATTATTCTTTTTAATGAATTTTCCCACAATTTTGATATTGGGCGGCTATCGTCAAATTGGGACCTTGCTTCACTTGCAACTTTACTACTCGAGAATTGTCTAGGTCTGCCCATGTTTCTATTTCCACTGTGTTCCTTTCTATTATTGATGCTGAGATGGTGATAATCCATGGCTTATCATTTTTGTTTCCAGTCATTCGAAATTTCTATTCTGAAAGTACATTTCTGAGAACGGGTTTATCCGAAACCATAGAAAAGTATATTAAGGTTACAGCACGAAATGATAATTACCTTTATCAAAGGCAGGTAACTAGCTGATTAATAGAAGTCAAACCTGACAGTTTTGTTTTCTGTTTCACAGAAACACTACTAATCGATACAATAATCGATTAGGGATTTTTTAAAATGTGACACAATCTTGGCGAAATACACGTGAGCTACATAATAAGGATATGTGTATTATGTCTAGTGACAGTAAGCATGGGTGCAAGCCGGTTTTACCACTGGGGGTGGGTGGGGGAGGAGGGTGATAAAAGCCACAAATAGATTTCTCCAGTTAAGTTTACAGGTATGTATAGACATATACATATGTATAATATTAATATACATAATACGAAAAGATCTATCTGCATAAAAATATCTAAATATATATTTATATAAATATATACTTGTATATATAAACATGGTTTATTGTTCTTCAGCTGGATGTGGGGGGGGGGGGGGGGGTGCGGTTAAGCAAACGCCCGTGGATGTGTAAGATTAAATGTTGACGTTACATAACACATAACCTAGAAAGGCCTTAAGACCGTTAACTGCACAAACTATACAGATCAATACAGCTATTTATAAATTCCATGAAATGGCTAGTTAACTATTAATCAATATTTAGTGCACTATATAAGCTTTAAGAAGACAAATATAGGTTAGTTACGTAACGCTGTGTCGCGCAAACCTGGACAGTTCCTGGAAAAGATGAAACGGTTTCGTTATTCTCGAGAAGTAAAACACAAGTGACGTGCAGTATAAATATAGATCTGATGTTGGTGTGCTAGTGTGTTGTCATTCTGGGAAATTGTTTCGTTTCTTTGCATGATTTCTTTGAATGGTTTTTCGTCATTACAGCTAGGCCTACATACATACAGTTGAATAGGAAGGTGAGGTGATTTTATTTACTGGGGTTTTTTTTTCGAGCTAAGTTTGAAGGTAAAGAGTTTTAGATGTTTTAAATTTATAATTTAAAAAAAAAACGCCTTACAGTTTTAGATTTTAATATTTTCTAATTATTTTTAGATTTTAATAACGTTTAAGCAAATATAGATTTTAAATTTAGACAGAGATATGCGATTAAAAAACATATACTTATTAGTTTAACATAATTGTAAAGTGCAGCCATTTATTTTTAAATATTTAGTGGACAAAGATGTTTAGTAGGCCTACAAAATTATAATTTATTCTAACGTGATTTTAAAAAGCAATCTGAAGTCTCAGAAATGTTACATAAATTATGTCTAGACTTGCATAGGATCTCAATTAGTTTCGTCAACTCTCCGATATCATAGCTGAATTAAGCCCAGTCGACCCAGGCAGGTAAGTAAAGTACCTTTCAAACCTTACGAAGGATCGTGGGGCAGGTGAAGTAGAGTTCATCTGCTCCAGTGACCCCCGGTGTATCAAGGAATATTGTGCTCAGTATTTTGCCCAGCTGCCTTTACTTTCCCTTTGTGGGCTCATGGAAATCATACGGACTCGAGCCCGGGATTCGAACTCAAGACTTCCGGATTAGAAGTCGAACGCTCTACCTATCGACCACACCGTCAAATCGACTCAAGTAAATTTAAATAATTTCTCCCTCTTTAATATTCGCCAAGGTTTTTGTAATCAAACTTGTACTTAGATGAGTCGCTCTTACCCAGTAGGTAGTGTCTGAGATGAAATCGTCATTCACCCTTCTTCCATCACGGTTTGTTTTTCATGCCAAAATCTAGTTGTGCAGCTGGTCTAGGAGAGATGGATGACGTAACAAATCAGGCGAAGATCAGGTGCCTTGAGGACGTGAGCAGGTACAAAGAGCAGCACAGGTGCATGAGGTGTAGGAAGAGCACGCTGGTGCAATGTGTGGTCTGCGACAGGTGTCTGGAGTTTGAGTGAGTAGAGTTGTGGCACTTGATTTTATTGGAGAGAATCCCTTCCATCTTTACAATTAAAAATGTGGAAGAAGAAGATAATACATGTTTATATAAAACTACACACGTATTTCAAAATATTTAAACACTCATTTGAGTGTTTTACCCATTTAATATTCCAAAACATCGTTCTCTTTGTTTAGTTGTATTGTCGGGGTTGGCGAAAAGCCTCGAGTTCAAACCCTCGGGTAGACGAGGCTCGACAACTGGGGACAGCAGCTCTTCTAGGAGAGACAACTCCTAGATCAAACAACTGCTGCCTCGTAGTTTGTTCTTGGACAAAGGCTATGGAAGCAAATTCAAAAAGAAAAGCAGGCTGAAATCGGAGTCAATGGCCTCAATGGCGCATAACCAGTTGACACGTAATCCTTAATTGTGCTGGAGGGGATCCCTTCCAACACTATAATTAAGAACGCAGAAGAAGAAGATACGTTTATATAAAACTACACAATTATTTAAAAATATTTTAAACGCTCCTTCGAGTGTCTAACCCGTTTAATATCATTCCAAAACGTCCTTCTCTTTATTCAGTTGTATTATGTATTATGTTTTATATTTTATATATATATATATATATATTTTAATGTAGTCTTGTATCGTAGTTGAAGAGAATAACTCTATATTGTTTTGATTTTCTCATACTTTATGACCACACTATAAGCACACAAATAGTTTAAATAGATTACTATATCTGCTAGGTATTGCTCAATGGAGTGCTGTGTCCAAGATGAACTCGACCACGCTCACATGTGTACTGTCATTGGACTGAAAAAAGGCATCCTGTATGCCCATGAAGACTCAAAGAAAGCACATAGCGTACGCATCAAGGCCAAAGTGTTGGATGATGAAGGGAATCTCAAGTTTGATGAGGTCGATGAAGAGGTGATTACACTGGATAAAGACGTCTCAGACTTAACGATGAAAGAGAAGAAAGCTGATAGGGATGCAAATTTCGTCCAGAGCTGCACCAAAAGTGGCAAGTTTGGTGGTGCAGCAAAGTGTGACTCGGGTACTAACTCTGGTGCAACGTTTGGAGAGTCGTGGTTCAAACCCAAGGCACTCAAAGAGGAAAAAACACAAGGCTCGACAAAGTCGAAATACATCAAGACTAGCGTTAGAGTTCAAAAAGCTGAAAGTTCAAAAACATTGGATAATCCTAATACTAATACTAATCCTGATCCACAAAGCAAAGTCAACAAAGGTAAGTTTTACAAATGGAAATGACTTTAAAATGACAGGTTACATTCTATTGTATTATGAATTTAAGTATATTATTAATTTATATAGTATAATGGTACGGCGTGGCCTAGCTAGACTGCTAACCAGAAAGTCTTGAGTTCAAAACCGGGTTCAAATCAGTAAAACATCCCTGAGTCCACCCAGCTCTAAAGTTTACCTAACTCACGTTAGGGAAAGTAAAGGCGGTTGGGAATAGTGCTGAGTACACTATCCCTTCATATACCGAGGTCACATAAACAGGTGAACTCTACTTCACTTGCCCAATGGACCGCCAGGTTCTAAAACGGAACTTTACTACTACTTTATTTAACATTATCCGCTTATATCCCCGGGTCACAGAAAAATAAAAGAACAGTTACCTACCTTGTGCACTTGGTTTCGAGAGAATTCAATGTTATTCATTAGTACTAAACATTGTTGCAATTCTTAATAATTTCTACAGGTGAACCTGAAACAGGTGTACAGGCTAACGGTGTGGATAGTGGTGTGGCTAGTGGTGTGGCTAGCGGTGTGGCTAGCGGTGTGGCTAGCGGTGTGGCTAGCGGTGTGGCTAGCGGTGTGGCTAGCGGTGTGGCTAGCGGTGTGGCTAACGGTGTGGCTAGCGGTGTGGCTAGCGGTGTGGCTAGCGGTGTGGCTAGCGGTGTGGCTAGCGGTGTGGCTAGCGGTGTGGCTAGCGGTGTGGCTAGCGGTGTGGCTAGCGGTGTGGCTAGCGGTGTGGCTAGCGGTGTGGCTAGCGGTGTGGCTAACGGTGTGGCTAGCGGTGTGGCTAGCGGTGTGGCTAACGGTGTGGCTAGCGGTGTGGCTAGCGGTGTGGCTAGCGGTGTGGCTAGCGGTGTGGCTAGCGGTGTGGCTAGTGGTGTGGCTAGTGGTGTGGCTAGTGGTGTGGCTAGTGGTGTGGCTAGCGGTGTGGCTGTGGCTAGTGGTGTGGCTAGTGGTGTGGCTAGTGGTGTGGCTAGCGGTGTGGCTGTGGCTAGTGGTGTGGCTAGTGGTGTGGCTGTGGCTGGTGGTGTGGCTAGCAGTGTGGCTAGTGGAGTGGCTAGCGGTGTGGCTAGCAATGTGGCTAGTAATGTGGCTAGTAGTGGCAGCCAAGTGGAGTCTTCTGGGCTGGAACTGGTTTCAAGGGAGTCACTGACTCTGACAGTGACTCTGACGCTGAGAGTGAAGAAGAAACCTTGTACGGCAGACGTCAGAAAACAAACCCCGGAGCCGAGCAGAAAATATGTGAACATTGCAAGAACAGGTCAATTAATCTCAAGACCTGCTCACGATGTAAAGTCACGTATTATTGTAATAAAACATGTCAGCTGGCCGACTTCAGGAGACACAAGGAGATGTGCAGTAAGTCTATGTGTCAATCATTTCTTTGGTAGCTTACTAAAATTTAAAAATAAAAAAAATTTGGAATTATAAAGAGACTATACAGCCTGTAACCTAATTTTTGTGTGAAGACAAAATTCTACAATCGACTTGATATATTTTTTTTTAGGATGTATCTTCGAATTCCTTATTTTGATCAGCGGTTTCAAAATATTTTAATATATGGCCTTCCTTTTAATACCTAAAATCTCGTCCCTTGTCTCAATTCCATTTTTGTGTTCTGGGACCATACTAGACATACCCAAGCATTATGAACGATAGAAGCTATTAGTTTGTCACAAAAAAAAACTATAGGCCTACATCTTTTCTATTATTTAGGCGGAGAATGTGGGGAGTTGGACGGGGTGTTGTTATTTTCTCACGGGTTTTCATAACCTGTACTCCCTTCCAGCATAGAATGGTTTGTTTTTCGTAACATTAAAGTGGCATAATTTGTAAAAAGGTGAAATTCCTGTGACAAGCTAGTTAATCAAATAATACTTTCTGAGCTATTACAAATTAAATTAAATTAAATTAATAATAAACCTAAAGGGTTTTATTTTAAGTTTAAGTCTTATTGTAATTCTAAAATTTAAGAAACATAAAACTTGACACAAACATCTATGTCAATCAATACGAATTAGTATTTATATTAAATAAAAAAATGAAAATTTAACATTTTTATTTTGCTATTATTGATATAATATATGTTTATTAAGACTTTGAAAAGCTGTTTCCCTTGTTTACTATCATTTATGAATATGGGAAGTAACTAAAATTGATGTTAGGCAATCAACTGTTTTTCAATTTGCAGCTTGTCTAATTTGATGAAACAATGCTTTAATACATTATTATATTAATTATTGAAAAATATAGTATTTACTTACACCTCGACGCTTTTACATTGCGCATTTCTATTAGTTTTTTTCGCGTCTCCCTTAAGACTAGCGCATATCGCGATAACAACTTTATACTTCTATATATTGGCTTATTTTTTAAGCAGTCACTTCAGTCTTTTCCACACGTGAAGATCTTAAAGAAAAAAAAATAATGTATATTATCCAAAGAATTTTTCTTTATATTTAGACGTTTTGTATTAGATCTATGTATAAGTAAACCATCTTAAATGAATGAAAGTAGGCTACAAGTAAGAAAGAAATATTACTATTGTAAATCTGTATCAGTCCTCACAAGCCGATGATGTAAACCAGGGGTCTCCAAACTACGGCCCGCGGGCCGGATGCGGCCCGCGAGGTCCTCTCATCCGGCCCGCGGAGATTTTTTTGTCCACGGAAAAACGTTTGTTGGTGCTGGCTGAGGAACTTTGCCCAGAAAAATCAAAGACATGCCTGGAAGAAATTGGCCCTGGAACTGAAATTTGATAGTTAATGCGGCCCTCGGACTGAAAAGTTTGGAGACCCCTGATGTAAACTAATACTAAAGCGAACATGCAAGGTAAACTGACGCTGTAAATTACACGTCTGAGGCGAAAAGAAAAAAAAATTAACCAGATAAGCGTTATCCAAAATAATATCCAATAATAAGATAACATCCAAAAAGTTAAACCCGGCAACCAAACTAAAAAAAAAGATTATTAAAAAAATGATGTGAAACCCTTTCCCTAACCCAAACCCTAACTCTAGAGGCGGATAATGAGGTTTCTTTATGGCGTGCGTTTAAATATTTAAATTTCCTGACATCTGAAATAGGTCAAGGTTGCATCCGTGATTTATTTTGGAACTGGCAAAAAGTGGCGGGTCTTAACTGTACACTGATTGCACATTTTGCATTAGTGGCGGGGTTTTTATGGACAATATCCAAAATAATCTAAATTTTAAAAGAAAACGGCAATCGTTGTAAAAATGCAAAAGTTATTTCTTTTTAAATTTCATTGTAGAGAGGTAAAGTTGTATAGAAACATTGTTCAGTAATTGACATCTAAAATCTTGTACATATTAAAATAAAAAGTAGTTGCTTTTCAAACGAGACGGTCAATGGGGCGAAAAAGGAAGGGAGTTTATCTGTATCTTTGGCTTCCGTATGTAAACGGATAATGTGGTTAGTAACATACCCAGCTTTCCATATGTTGTGTCAGGCATACATATCCATATTGGTGTGTAAACTAAGGAACATTGCACAAAATATTTGCAAATAAAGCCCGAATTTGCTATTACAAATATTTTCTTTAACAAATAGCTATTTTTTAAAAAGTAGAATGAACAATTTTCTAAACCACTGTTTCGGTGGTGCTTCTATGGCTTCTAGTAACACAATCGTTGCATATATTTTCAGAGAGAGGCGCACGGTACCTTTCGGCCAGTCAGAAAATCCCGGAGTTCCTGATGTTTAGGTTCATGTTAGGCGTCTCCAAACTAGCGCCGACTCTTTTAGACGTACCTTCAGAGTTTGACTGTAAGCATCGATTTAATCACGCCCATATCTAGCCATATATATATATATATATATATATATATATATATATATATATATATATATATATATATATATATATATATATATATATATATATAGGACATTACCCCCCCCCTTCGTCAATTACCCCCGGGCATTCCCCCATAGCTAATCCTAACCCCATCATCAATCCTAACACCAACTCTACCTACATCTAACCCTAACTCTGACTCTAACACTAGTCCTAACCTAACCCTAACCGGACAGAGAGTAATTGTCAAGAAGGGGGTGGATGGGGATTAGCTCCGGGGTGGAATTGTCCGGGGGTGTTATTGACGCGGAAAGTGGGTAATTTCTTGTATCCTTGTTAAACAGGACAGCCGGTCTTTCAAAGTACAGACATTGTATTGACAAACTTGTAATACAATACAGTGCATCCTTTACCTGTGTAAAAAAAGTTATCACAGTTATCAAAGCTTCTCTCAAAAGGGGTGTAATTTTAACAACTTATAAGCTGCCATAACTCATGTCAAACATGACCTTATCCCAAACAACAACCCCAACACGTCCTCTCTAACAGTACCTAGTCCTAACACAAACGATTATATTTTTGACGAATAATTTCTATTCTCATTATATCCAACTTCTGCTTGTTTAGGCATACCTTCATGATGAACTTTTATACCTGTGTACATACTTAAGAAGTCACGTGAACCACTAAACGTTATACTAGCATTTATAATATTATAAACTTGCTTAATTGATTTGCTATTTTCTACTCCAGTTGCATTTTTTCGAAGTTCGGCCAGTATCCTGTTGGAGATTGTTGGGCCGTATTTTCATCCCTTTAGGCTCGGAGTGGAAGTCATGGTAGATAATCTCTTTTGTTGTCTTGATTTTAGTGGTAGATAATCTCTTTAGTTGTTTTGTTTTTAGTGGTAGATAATCTCTTTTGTTTTCTTGTTTTAGTGGTAGATAATCTGTTTTGTTGTCTTGCTTTTAGAGTACATAATCTCTTTCGTTGTCTTGTCTTTAGTGGTAGATAATCTCTTTTGTTGCCTTGTCTTTAGATCTCATTTCACACATTTACAGACATAGTTAATATATACGTACCCATATCACACATTTAGACACGTGGTTTATTCATCAATACTCATAACAAGTACTCTTGTATTCACACAAATACCGTATTATTTATACTTTATAGTCATTATATGGATCACCATGACACACACTCTATAACACACTTAGATGGATCAACATCCTCCACACTCTATAAACCTCACATAGACCACCATCCCCCACACTATAACCCTCACATAGACCAACATCACCCACACTATAATCCGTACATGGACCAACATCCCCCACACTATAACCCTCACGCAGACCACCATCACCCACACACTTTAACCCATACATAAACCACTATCACCCCCCCCCCTATTCTCCACACATAGACCACCATCACCCCCCCACTATTCTCCACACATAGACCAACATCACCCCCACACTATTCTCCACACATAAACCACCATCACCCCCCACTATTCTCCACACATAAACCACCATCACCCCCCACTATTCTCCACACATAAACCACCATCACCCCCCACTATTCTCCACACATAAACCACCATCACCCCCCACTATTCTCCACACATAAACCACCATCACCCCCCACTATTCTCCATACATAAACCACCATCACCCCCACTATTCTCCACACATAAACCACCATCACCCCCCACTATTCTCCACTCATAAAACACCATCACCCCCCCCCCCACTATTCTCCACACATAAACCACCATCACCCCCCACTATTCTCCACACATAAACCACCATCACCCCCACTATTCTAAACACATAAACCACCATCACCCCCCACTATTCTCCACACATAAACCACCATCACCCCCACACTATTCTCCACACATAAACCACCATCACCCCCCCACTATTCTCCACACATAAACCACCATCACCCCCCACTATTCTCCACACATAAACCACCATCACCCCCACTATTCTCCATACATAAACCACCATCACCCCCCACTATTCTCCACACATAAACCACCATCACCCCCCACTATTCTCTACACATAAACCACCATCACCCCCCACTATTGTCCACACATAAACCACCATCACCCACATACTCTAATCCTCACTTTACTTCCATCAAAATACTCACGAAACTCACCCCCCCCCACACACCCTGCCCACAGGACCTGCAGGGAAACAAGTCTCACGTGATGTTCTACGACCCAATGAACGTCTACTTCCACGCACCAGCCCCCGTGTTTTTCGGCTTGCCCATACCTCTGGCCCAGTGCTTGACCCCCGGGCGTTTCATCCTGTTGAAGGAGGCGCATTGGCACAACTTTCTGGATGGGACCGTTGGCTTCAGGATTGATGATCTGTCCACTGTGTATTTTGTCATGTAGCTTATCATAACTTGTGGGACGGAGTGGTCTAGCGGTGGAGAGCTGGACTGCTAACCCGAGTTCGAATCCGGGTTCAAGTCAGTAGACCTTCCCTGAGTCCGCCCAACTCTGATGGGTACCTAACTCACGTTAGGGAGAGTAACGGCGGCTGGGCATAGTGCTGACCACACTATCTCTTCATATGCCGAGGTCACAGAAACAAGTGAACTCTACTTCACTTGCCCCATAGAAAGGGAAACTTTACTTTATCATAACTTATCATAAATTTCATAACCTATCATAGCTATCAATACTATCATAAACATCATAACCTATCATAACCTATCATAGCCCATCAGAGCTGAGATATCATTTAGCCACCTATTTAAATCGTTACAAAATCAATGTCGTCTGACCCGTATTATCGCTTGGCTAACTGCCCCGTGATTATTTTTCTTAAATAACCATATCTGTTATATTAACACAACTTATTGTTCTGTTATGGCGCCAAAATTCTATTGTTACCCAAACCCGTACTTGTGTTTCTTCCTTAAATTAAAAACAACAATTCAAAATTAGTTCTGACATTTTGATTACATTTACTCATTAACAAAGAATTTTAATAGTAAATTTATTTGAAAAGTTTAATAAGGCCGTTCAATCCTTAGACGTATTGACTGAACTACTGTAAGGAATTATCTGAAAAGGGGAGTAATGCTGAGTTAAGACGATCACGGAACAAATAATAATCGGGAATTTCTGAGGACCTTTTGTTGATATCCACACAAGGGGGGGGGGGGGGGGGCTTAGAATAAACCATATCATGTCTATTTATAAATACAGAGGTTCCATCAGCATGTATATATCTTGTGATTTTAAGTACACTTTTTAAAGAATCAGAAATGTTATATCGTAATACAAGTTTGTTATTCATCTTTTCCCAATAGTGCCTAAGATATATAACATAATAAGGATACAGTTTTGAAACATAATCGTAAATTACTAAATCAACTTTTAGATTATTTAGTTAGTATGGCGTTGAAGGAACCGATAAAAATGTGTTAATGACAAGCTTTATTATATCGAATTATAGCTTTATGCCAATTACGCTGTTGTAGTTTCTAATTACATTAATAAAGCCTCTAATTACGTTGTTGTATCGGCTACTCTAGATAATTAGATTTCTTTACCGGTAACAACCAACTGCTAATATCTTTTCACTACCTCACTGCTACGCATGAGTATGAATTGTGTTTATGAGTTCAATGCAGAAACGTGACAGCAAATTTTTCTCGTTCAACTTACAACTTTTTATTTTACAGTTCTACTCAACAAATAGGCCTACAGTTCTTTGAAGTTGAAGCATATGGGAAAATTAGCCGTTAGCCTCTATGTAAGCCAGGAGCGGAACTACGGTGCCGCCAGACCCCGCAATGCGGGGGGGGGGGGGGGGGGTCACGCCATTTAGGGGCCCACGGCCAACCCTAATAGTTTTTATTAGTTTTAAAAAATCTAATTTTCTTGCAATTTTTGACTTGATGTTTGTTTTGTAAAACGATCACTATAGCTGCGGTTGGATTATCTTTATTCTATAGACACCACCCCACGCTCTTGTTTATTCTTTTTCCCTTTCTTTTTAAACCACTGTGAAAGCCGAGTCCTTTCTCTTCTACATTTAAACTTAACAAAGATAAGCAAACGTTCAAACCACTTCCATGATTTATTTCCCTTTTTTAAATAGTCAAATTAGGGTGCTCATAAGCTCCTTTTAATAGATTTGTACTAAACAAATTAAAAAGCAATTACTTCTCTTACTAAATATTTTTTTTCATAAAATACTTACTAAAGAGTGACCTTGTTTAAAAAGGAAATGTATTTAAAATTAATAATATAAATAAAATAAAAAACATAAAAATAATCATAACACGAGACACCATTACTTCTACAAAGATTTCATGCTTATATTCACTTGGCCAAGGCGATGTTAAGTACACCCATAGCAGATAAAATAAAATTGATATCCTCATTAGACACGAATACATTTACACACATGACATGATGTAGTAATTTGTTTTAATTGAAAAAAAGACACCATTTTTCAAAACCCGAACAGGCCAGCAATGAGTATCCTATGCTCTGTTCGTATATATATATATATATATATATATATATATATATATATATATATATATATATATATATATATATATATATATATCTATAATATAACGCTGCTGGTAGTGTGTCAGTCCTTCCTTCCTTCCGTCATCGCTATAGATTTTGGAACCATAAAAGTAAACATTCGCACCATGCTGTGCTTTTCAGTGCACCGCAGTGTCTTATTATAAGTATTAGAGCAGGGTTTGTTTATATAGCGGCATAGAGCTATTTTATAATTGCCACGGTTTTTACTCTTTCGCATAACGTCAAGAAAATATTAAATACACGCAAACTGCTAAAACGTATTAAAAAGATTAATGTCAAATATCATTTTCGTTTAGGTTCCCAGAAAAAGTGGATACATTTTAATAAGATAATAACAGTACGGTAGAAAGATCAAATTAATTTAACTCTTTTCTAATTTTGACAAAGGAGGTAATTTAAAAATACATTAAACTCGCGCTAATAAAAAATGTAAATGCAAATATACGTTCGTCATAGAAGGAATTAGTGTTGCAATAATATAATTAGCAAAATGTGAATGCAAATTATTCGGATGTGTAAGAGGAAATTATTGTTAGAAAATTATAATTAGCATGGATTGATAAAAGGCAATCTTTTATTTATTTTATTCACTGAATGTAGGCCCTACTGTTTATTACTTATAATTTTTAATCAACTATTCAGCTCTATTATAGACGCGTCATCACGTTCATTAGGTGCGCAATGGTTTTAGTTATGAAACTCTATTGTAATTTTTTAAAATTTAAAGTACTGGAAAAAAATGCGTGAATGGATAAAGTGAAATATTGTAGGTAAAACACGGATATTTTAAATACTGCCTATTATTTATACTGTTTTCTAATTATTATTCTATCTTTCGGGTTTTATAGGAGAGGCGTAGCGAGGGGGGGGGGGCATATGTCCCCGGGTGCCGACCTTAGGGGGCGCCAAACTGGGTTGGAAAAAATTTGCGAGGGGTGGGTGGAAATCGAAAGTTTTAGGACGGGGGGGGGGGGACAGGGGTGCAAATCGAAAGTTTGAGGGGGGTGCAAATCATCGGAAAGGGTGCGATTTGGCGCTACGGGATAGACTGTGAGCAATATGCCTTTATGATTGCATTTAAATTGTGTTTATGTTATGAGTGTTGTGTTTGGTTTTTCTTTTGTGTTTTTTTTTCGTTCGTTTGTGTTGTGTTTAGTTTTGTTCTGTTCCCCAGTTGGTACATTTAAAAAAGATTTACCGTGGCGGAGCACGGGATGCAGCTAGTCTATAATATAACGCTGCTGGTAGTGTGTCAGTCCTTCCTTCCTTCCGTCATCGCTATAGATTTTGGAACCATAAAAGTAAACATTCGCACCATGCTGTGCTTTTCAGTGCACCGCAGTGTCTTATTATAAGTATTAGAGTAGGGTTTGTTTATATAGCGGCATAGAGCTATTTTATAATTGCCACGGTTTTTACTCTTTCGCATAACGTCAAGAAAATATTAAATACACGCAAACTGCTAAAACGTATTAAAAAGATTAATGTCAAATATCATTTTCGTTTAGGTTCCCAGAAAAAGTGGATACATTTTAATAAGATAATAACAGTACGGTAGAAAAATCAAATTAATTTAACTCTTTTCTAATTTTGACAAAGGAGGTAATTTAAAAATACATTAAACTCACGCTAATAAAAAATGTAAATGCAAATATACGTTCGTCATAGAAGGAATTAGTGTTGCAATAATATAATTAGCAAATTGTGAATGCAAATTATTCGGATGTGTAAGAGGAAATTATTGTTAGAAAATTATAATTAGCATGGATTGATAAAAGGCAATCTTTTATTTATTTTATTCACTGAATGTAGGCCCTACTGTTTATTACTTATAATTTTTAATCAACTATTCAGCTCTATTATAGACGCGTCATCACGTTCATTAGGTGCGCAATGGTTTTAGTTATGAAACTCTATTGTAATTTTTTTTAATTTAAAGTACTGGAAAAAAATGCGTGAATGGATAAAGTGAAATATTGTAGGTAAAACACGGATATTTTAAATACTGCCTATTATTTATACTGTTTTCTAATTATTATTCTATCTTTCGGGTTTTATAGGAGAGGCGTAGCGAGGGGGGGGGGGGGGGCATATGTCCCCGGGTGCCGACCTTAGGGGGCGCCAAAGTGGGTTGGAAAAAATTTGCGAGGGGGGGGGGGGGTGGAAATCGAAAGTTTTAGGGCGGGGGGGGGGGGGGGGGGGAAGGGGTGCAAATCGAAAGTTTGAGGGGGGTGCAAATCACCGGAAAGGGCGCGATTTTGGCGCTACGGGCTAGACTGTGAGCAAAATGCCTGTATGATTTCATTTAAATTGTGTTTATGTTATGAGTGTTGTGTTTGTTTTTTCGTTGTTTTTTTTTTGCGTTCGTTTGTGTTGTCTTTAGTTTTGTTCTGTTCCCAAGTTGGTACATTTAAAAAAGATTTAAGTTATGAGTGTTGTGTTTGTTTTTTCGTTTTTTTTTTTTTTTTTTTTTTTTTTGCGTTCGTTTGTGTTGTGTTTAGTTTTGTTCTGTTGGTACATTTAAAAAAAGATTTTCCGTGGCGGAGCACGGGATGCAGCTAGTATATAATATAAGCGGGCTGAGCGTGTGTCAGTCCTTCCTTCCTTCCTTCCTTCCTTCCTTCCTTCCTTCCTTCCTTCCTTCTGTCATCGCTATAGCTTTTGGAACCATAAAAGTAAACAATCGCTCCATGCTGTGCTTTTCAGTGCACCGCAGTGTCTTATTATAAGTAATAGAGTAGGGTTTGTTTATATAGCGGCATAGAGCTATTTTATAATTTCCACTGTTTGTACAATTTTGCATAACGTAAAGAGAATATTAAATACACGCACATTGCTAAAACATATTAAAAGGATCAATGTCAAATATAGTTTTTGTTAATATTCCTAGAAAAAGTGGATACATTTTAATAACATAATAACTGTAGGTTAGAAAAATCTAATTAAACTGTTTAGTAATTTTGCCAAGGGAGGTATTTTAAAAATAAATTGAACTCACGCTAAAAATGTGAATGCAAAATCTGCAAGACGGAATAATTGTTGGAATAATATAATTAGCAAAATGTGAATGCAAATTATGCAGACGTGTAAGAGTACATTATTGTTGGAATATTATAAGTAGCATTGATTGATAAAAGGCTATCTTTTATTTATTTTATTCACTGAATGTAATGCTTACTACTTATACTTTTTTATCAACTATTAAGCACTATTATAGACGCGTCATCACGTTCATTTGGTGCGCATTGGTTTTAGTTATGAAACTCTATTGTAAATTTTTAAAATTTAAAGTACTGGGGAAAAAAAATGCGTGAATTGATAAGTGATATAATATGGTAGGTAAAACACGGATATTTTAAATACTGCTGGGGGTTTTATAGGAGAGGCGTAGAGAGGGGGGGGGGGACAAATGTCCCCGGTTGCCGACCTAAGGGGGCGCCAAAGTGGGTTGGAAAAAATTTGCGGGGGGGGGGGGGTGCAGGGGGTGGTGGAAATCGAAAGTTTGAGGGCGGTGGGAGGATGCAAATCGAAAGTTTGAGGGGGATGCAAATCAACAGATTGAGCGGGGGGAATT